ATAGTCACAATATTATTTACCTTAGCCACAGCAACGCGTGGCTGGGTCTGCTAGTTAGATACTATGAAAGAATGTTGTGATTACAATGGGCGGTCTTATCAAGTCTTATCACACCAGGCGATTTCTAAATATTATATTTTTTGTACCCTCAGTTGACGGCAAGGACGGCGTTGTGGACAAGGACAACGGCATCCGCGTGTCAACACCGGAACAGCTCGCCAAGCTGAAGCCTGCCTTCATCAAGCCACACGGCACAGTCACCGCCGCCAACGCATCTTTCTTGGTGAGTTAGGGGGAAAATGAGTCAAGGGACGATCTCCGGCCACCGTAAGCACGGGTCTGCGGTCAGCGAGTAAGGGCAGCTCGCCGCCCGACCAGAACCAGGCCCGAGCGTACGGCGCGTAGCGTTCCGCGCGCGCCTCAAAGAGCCAATAGTCCACCACAGACGGGGCCCTAAGGGCTGATGTTCAGCCGGGGTTGCGGGGTAAGCGCAATGAGGCACCGCGACCTCGGCACAAAGCAGGAGAAGGAACAGGGGGTGTTTAGTCAGTAAGAGTCTGACGCTCCCTCCCGCCCGGCCCTGGGCGAGAAAAGCCATTTGATGATTTTCCCCAGACAAAAAAAAGGAAGAAAATGAGTTATAGATCAGCCAACAACCAGACAGATTACCTGATAGTAAGCAATCTACACCACCCATAAAACACTTGGAACACCAAAGGATTTTTGTGGGTAGTTAAGAATTTTATTTATTTCTCTTCGATCTTTTTTGTCCCGACTTTCTACACTCTAATTGACCCCTACTAAAGAAACCGTCGTGAACCAAATTCGCTCTAGGCACTCTAATGACTTTAGCCTATCTTCCAGTAAACTGACGCTATGTTTTAGTTTTAATGGTAAATACACACAAAGATTTGTTAGTATAGGCGAATGACATGGTGACAAATAAAAAAACTATTTTCATATAAAATTAATTAAATAATAAGTGGAAACTAGACAGTCGCTTCCGACCTGTAATGTTGCTAAAATGAACTCTACCTACTACAATACCGCCAACGTATCTTGGCGAGTCTGAAGTTAGCCGATTAGTTGCGCAGTACACAATTTTGTTCCTAAAAGCCTTCAAGTAACGAATATATTATCTTGCAGACTGACGGCGCGTCCGCTTGCTTAGTGATGTCGGAGGCTAAGGCCAAGGAGCTCGGTCTCAAGCCCAAGGCGTACCTGCGTGACTTCACTTACGTCGCTCAGGTAATTATAGAAAGAAAGAAAGAAAGAAAAAGTATTTATTCGCGTCTGGGACGCATAAAAGACACAAAACGAACAAGATAATAAAATAAAGTTAAAATAAAAATACATTGAGCAAGGTAAAAACAATATCACAAAAGTAGGCGGTAGGAGAAAAATATGCGTCCAAGCACGCGAAATGGCCCACGCTCAGCCTAATAATAAACTATTTAGTTTCTTTGAAAATAAGTAAAGAAAGAAATAAATCTCTTTATGGCTTTGCAATCGAGCATACGTATTACCTGATGGTAAGCAATCAGCGCCGCCCATGGACACTCGTAATACCAAAAGGGTTGCTACAAGCGTTGCCGAACTCTTGTGGGTTGGTAGGAATTGAAGGATTCAGGATGGGGGAAGGATTGGGTCTCCAGTAACCACACTCACACGGCGAAACATAAGGTAAGTGGTGCTTCACGCCGGTATTCTGTGAGGCAGTAGTATCACTTCGATCGTGCCAACCCATTCGCGCTCATGGCCATGGTTCAAAAGTCAGCTGGGTTTATGAATATTTAACAAAAAGATGATTATGAATGAAATATACGTAATTAAAGAGAGAAAGAGAGGTAAAGTTGAACTTTATTTTCGTTACTATTGGTACCTAGTGAAAAAGCTTACGGCCCATCTTGTAATAGTAAGCGGACACTAGCCTCAACATATTTGCACATATCTGATACCTTAATTAGACGCTTCTTAGACCAAAGAGGTGCACTATCGTTTCCAACCAGCAATATCATTATTCACTTCACTTCGCCAAGTGAGATTGATGAATAAAAATGTATGTATCAGCCCGTTAGTAATCCTATTTATTTATTGTGAAGGAAATATTATTATGTAGAAGAACAAATAAGAATCGTCTCGGTATTTTTTCCCAGGACCCCGTTGACCAGCTTCTGTTGGGACCCGCGTACGGTATCCCCAAGATCTTGGAGAAGGCTGGACTCAAGATGAGCGATATCGACACCTGGGAGATCCACGAGGCTTTTGCTGTGAGTAAATGGAAAAAACAAATATAAAATGTATTCTCTTGGATATTTTTATAATGGAATTTATTTAATGTAATTATGTCTGTAACAGATTTCCTCGATGATTATTCCTATCCTTTTGTTTGCAGGGTCAAATCCTGGCCAACTTGAAGGCTTTGGACTCTGATTGGTTCGCACAGACTTACCTCGGACGTCAGACTAAGGTGAGTTGGTTCATAACTTCATTATTTCTTTTTTATAACTAGTAACTTTTGACTGCATGGATGATGCAGTGGCTGTACAACGTGTCACGGGCTCGATTCCCGCACAATACTTTGTGTGATCTACAAATTGTTGTTTCGGGTCTGGACGGCTTGCGTCACAAAATCTTAGGGTGGGTAAACTAACTATACTATGAAGTCGCTCTTGGAGTAAACTATTTGTGCTCCTCAAATTGCGAGAACAGCATACTTGTTCGAGTGTTAACAAGTAGCTTATCCGTTCGAGTATCCCAGGTTTAAAAGCGTGATCTGACGTTCCATGACTTGGATCCTACCTGAGGGGACTCTCACATATTTCCTGCAGCAGTAAATCTAAGTAATTATCTACAAAGCAAATCAATAATCTTCCCAAAGAATGTACTATATACCATCCTCTTATCTCCCTAAAGGTGGGTGCCCCCGACCTGGACAAGTGGAACAAATGGGGCGGCTCGCTCTCTATCGGACATCCCTTCGCCGCCACTGGGGTGAGTTACAAATATACCATTAAAACTACTTACTGTTTTGCTTAGCATCTTGATTAATACGAGATGTCCTGAATTAGGTATTTTTGTCAGTCAAAAATGATTTTTTTCACAATTGATCGTATTTCTCGCATTGGTCTGGCGATATACTTTACTTTTTTTTCAAGCAAATATAAAAGAAATAAGTATGGTAATGCAAAAATATGATAACGTAACTGTATGTTACTCTCAGTCTCATTCTCTCTCATCTGTTGTCTCATTCAAGAGTTTGATTTGATTTGATTTAAATAAAAATATGATATTTTCCGCAGGTACGTCTCGCCATGCACACCGCCCACCGTCTGGTACGTGAAGACGGACAGTTTGGTGTGATCTCTGCCTGCGCCGCCGGCGGTCAGGGAGTCGCCATGATCCTGGAGAGACACCCCGATGCCACTTGCAACTAAACCATCAACAAGCGGACATAACCACGCCGAAATAAAAAAATACCAAAAAGGCAAAAAAATAGTGCCTTTATAATGGCAATACCAAAAATTTGGTTTATTTTTATGGCAACACATTGGGAAAAATATACAATGGATATGTCCAAAAAAGTACTGTCAATACGCACTGTAGCGAATGTTAAAACGGATAATTGCGAGGATATGTTACTCTTAAAGAAAAACTTACCACATAAAGCACATTGGTTCATTCATACCTACCTTTGATACAATTTCAGAAAAAAACAACAACATATAAATGGTGATCCTTCCAGTAACTTATACTTAGATAACTTTTAAGAAAATAAGTGTCAAAAGATAAGTCGAAATAACTCGAAATTTGTATAAAAATGTAACTTATTTTGTACACAATGTAAGGTCAGACAAAATATTTTTTATGTTTGTCTGTACTCTAGGAGTAATATTATTGTAATCTGTTAGTTTGGTAGTATGTCTGTGAGGTCAATTGCCCTGATATTTATTTCATAATCATTAGTTTTAAGTATACATTTATATATCTGATGATTTATTCTTATTGTTGTTATTAAAACCTGATCGAAATTTCTAATTTTTGTTTTCTTTTTTTAAACTTCCACTTTTCTCTTTATCAAAATAAAAAATCAAAGCCAACTTTATAAACTACTAGCAGACCCAGCCACGCGTTGCTGTGGCTAAGGTAAATAATATTGTGACTATAAATTGAGATGTAAGCTTTCAAGTTGGATCAAAATGCATACGGAATGCAAATCAAATTTAAAATCGGTTTAGTACTTTAGGAGGCCGTCGCGGACAAACACGTGACACGAAATTTTTATATAATATAAAGATCATAGTCATATCTGGCCTTATTACAAAACAAGGTTTTTCTTTAGTGTAGGTCTGTACCTTAAGCCAGTACTTTGAATTGGGTAGTTTCAAAGTAAAAATACATTTTTTGATGTTTTAATAAAATACTGACGTCATAATTTACATAGTTTCAAACAAATTTCATAGACATTTCTGACATTTTTTACTAGTTGGAAACTACCATATTGAAGGTAGAATAAGATTTAAAATAAAAAGTTAAAAACCGACTCAATGGTTTCTACATAAAGACAAATCTAGTTTTGTAATAGGGGGATCTAGTTTGTGTGGATTCCATAGTAATGAAATTATCAGTATATTCAATGTAAGCTGTAGAAATTGTGGGTAGATGTTTAACTCCTAGACTCTCTTAACTAGTCCACAATAGGTAGGTATGCTATCATTGTACTTAGCCATTTCATGGTGTCTAGACCATCTTTATCTATTGTTTTAATCATGACTCAGGAGTACCTTGTTACCTCTTTAACTACAGCAGTATATCTATGCTTCAACCCATTGAGCTACATGCCTGTGGTTCAACCTTAGACCACTTTTGCAGTCTCAAACATATTATAGATGTGTGATTCTTATGTGGGTCAAAATTAACTCCATGGTATTTGAAATGCTTGTATGCACAGAATGAAATAAAACAAACATTGATTACAAAAAAAGAATTATTAATTTCCTAAAGCATACAATACAATTATTAATATTACAATTACTTCCAGAGTTTCTTGATAGACATGTTCTTCTCAGAGTCCTTCTGCATGACCTTAGCTACGGCCATTTCAAAGTCCTCCTGAGTGACATGGACTCTGCGCTCACGGAGAGCATACATGCCAGCCTCAGTACACACACCCTTAACTTCAGCACCAGATGCTCCGGGCATTAACTCTGCAATCTTGCGTAGATTGATACCTCTGGTCAGATTCATCTTCCTAGAGTGAATTTTTAAGATGTCAAGACGAGCTTCCTCATTTGGTGGGGGGAACTCAATCTTCCTGTCAATACGGCCAGGTCTAAGCAAAGCAGGATCCAAAATGTCAATCCTGTTGGTAGCCATGATAACCTTAATGTTCTTTGTTGCCTCAAACCCGTCAAGCTGATTCAGCAACTCCAACATAGTTCTTTGTACTTCAGAGTCACCACCACTGCCAGACTCAATACGTGAAGAACCAATAGAGTCAATTTCGTCCATGAAGATGATAGAAGGAGCATGTTCACGAGCCATTACGAAAAGCTCTCTGACCATACGACTGCCTTCACCAATGAACTTCTGAACTAACTCAGAACCTGAGACACGGATGAAGGTACATTCAGTGTGGTGGGCGACGGCTCGAGCCAGGAGTGTCTTACCAGTACCTGGTGGTCCATACAATAGAACTCCCTTAGGTTGGGCAATACCAAGGGCATCAAACAACTCTGGATGTTTAACTGGCAGTTCAATGACCTCTTTGATCTCTTTGATTTGTTTATCCAAACCTCCCACCATCTCATAAGTGGAATCAGGAACCTTCTCCACCATCATAAGTGACACAAGAGGATCTACTTTGTTTGGTAGGATTTTGTGAAGCGTGTAGCTTTCGTTACGCAGTGCAACCCTGCAGTTAGCTGTAACGTCGTTGATATCCACATTTTTATCCAAGTCTACCACGAATTTACCTTCAGGGTGCACCTTTACTAGAACTTTCTTCTTGTCCATAGGTTTGACGACTTCGCCTACATATGAACCCTGTTCTTGCAAGAGCTGAAGTTCCTCACGCAACATACGAACTTTAGCGTTAAGTTCATTACGCTGGGCTTGTAGACGACGAAGATTTTGAGACTTCTCAGCAACAATCAGTTGAAGCTCTTCTATCTTGGTAATGTAGTAAGGGCGAAATCCTTCACCCTTGCCAGAATCCACCTCCATCTTAGTTAGAGTCATTTTGATGACTTATTTAGGCCACATTCACAAACAAAACACCTTTTTAGTCTAACTCAACACAATAATTTCAGCCGCACAATATATTTTTCCGAGTCACGATGACGTGTGACAATTCAATTTTAAAATTACTACTACTAAAACTTGGTAATTTTTTTGATAACGTTTGAGTATTTGTTTATTTAAAACACTTTGTATATATATTTCTAGAATTAGTTATTAATTTTTAATTCATAATATCTTAATAAATACGAAAACTAAAATTACAAACTCAACTCTTAAAGCTACCAATCCTTTATTTTTTTACATCTTGTCACATTTTTTAGGTATGCGTTCAAATTTCTAGAATTGAAATATGTCTGTGTTCATAATAATTGATTAAATTGCGCAAAAAATTATTGTTAGAATAATAAAATTCAGATCATTAGTTTTTGGTTTATTTTTGATAAATGAAGGATGCAAATAGATTATTGCGTGTGTTTGTAAAGTAAGAGGAATAGTAGGTACTTAATTTGACATATTTTCAATATAAAAGATTTCGCCAAAGTGTATAATAAGCAAAGAGTATAATAATACACAGGGTAATGTATGGGTCACAGCTTTTGTCACCAAACGACATGAAAGTCTTAAGTCATGATGACAACAATAATGTAAAAAATGAAAAATGTAATAAAAACAACAATGTAAAATAAAGTATTCAAAATTTTCATCTCACTCACACACAAACTCTTAAAATGATCAATTAAACAGGAACGATATCTTAATTGTCAACTAATGAAAACTCTTGTGGTTAAAATGTGCTTCGTAACCACTGTGTTGCTCGTCGTATGCAGTACAGTTATTTTCAAATTTCTATGGCTGGCCCGAATTGGTGCTTTGGCCCATTGGAGCTATATAATTGGCCACGCCTTATATCCAAGAGATCCTTCAGGAAGTTTAATTTTAAGTGCAAGCGTGTTCAGTTTTATTGCCTTGGGGACGGCAGTACCTACATTCTTGTTTCCAAGATATAAGTTTGTAGCGACTGCATTGAGTGTACCTCCCCAAATGCATATGCTTCTAATGTTACACAGAAATGTAACGCGGCGATTTGAAAACGATACAATTGGAAAATCTGTTCAAGTTTATACGGCGGTCACTTTGATTTCTACATTATGGACAATTTTATCTCTCTTAAGACAGCAGTAAAAATCTAAAAAAGGATTACGAAAAGTAAATAAATTTAAGATAAGCACTGTGAAAATTGTAGGTATCAATATAAAGTTTTATAAATTATATTGGTAAAACTGTAAAGTCCATATTTTGGTCTGAACAATAACAGCTAAACCAAAATGGAACTTAAAAAAAATCATATACTTATATATATATATAACTAGATAAATATATTATTACAAATACAATTGGAAAATGTGTTATCTTTACAATATGGTACTAGAATTCAGAGTATCTTAACATAGGTAATAAAGAAATAACTCGTCATTTGCGTACTCATTTTTATTACGATGCCCAATAATTATCATCGATTCCTTAAATCAATTTTTAGATCGAAGTGAGTAAAAGTCTCGTGATTCGTGATAAAAGTTTGTTTACACAAAAGATTCACGCTAATGGATCGTAATGTATGAATGTAATAGAACAAACACTAAAACGTTATCTTGATCTTTATTTTGTAAACTGTACACTCTCAAATGATATGCATTTCAGTTAATTTCTACAAAGTCTGAAAAATCAATGGCTTTGCGATTTGCGATCTGATAAAAATGTTTAATCAATAAGTGAGGTAAAACAAAGATCAAATATTTGTACAGAACCTATACTTATTACATAGCGGTTTATTTCCAGTAGCTAGTAGTCGAACTAAAATTCACGATAAGGCAGTTGCGTTGCCGTGGTGCTAAACGGCAGTCGTTTCGCGCTTCGCGCGTAGTGCATTGTAAAATTCCTTTTCCGGCTACGAAAAAGTTTTAAAAACACCCTTCACAATTGACATTGACATAAGATTGACAGGTAACCTAAACTATTAATTTGTAATTTGTCAAAAAATATTGATTTATTGCGATGAGTATTTTCAGCGGTATGTTATCATACAAAACTTAGTTTAATAATGAAATAGGTCCTCAAGATTATGTGTAATAAAAATATTTCAATCGACAAAGCGACTTATTAGTGGGCAGTGTATAAGTTTAACATTGTTATTATTCAAATCAAGGTAATGTTTATGTTATGTTTACGAATTAAATCTTATTTGATTGTTATAAGGCCAGAGTTTTTCATTTGCCTACATTGCCTGCGAAAAATTCTCATTTTTCAAACAAGTTAATAGGAATCAATTTTATGACAAGGACATGGGGTATTTAATTTTTTTCATTGCAAGGTCGAGGGTAGGCAATGACATTGCACTATAAGTCCATAAGTTCGGTATCAGGATACGAAGGAGGTTGTGTACGTCTTGAGGAGTGTAATTCTTAATTGTAAAGGTGAATTTGTGTTGCACCTGCTTATCTTCCTGTTGATTCAAGGTAGAATAGTATTGTCATAATGTGTCAAGTTGTCCTCTATCATGGGCAATGATTATACAAACAATATCACATGACTCTCCTGTCAACAAGTGCTATTTTCGAACATATAGTTGTGACACAATAAATAGTTTTTATTATTTCTTTATGGCACATTTTAGAACTGCAAAATATAGTGTAGATGTGAATGTATTGTTAAAACTTGCTATTCTGTGTAGTCAGTGGGTACATTTATGTAATATATTTTTAATATTTTTGTTAACTTATACTAATTTTAAAGTTTTGTATTTTTAATTATGTCATATTCCAATTTGAACAATACAAACCAATCAGACATGAAAAAACAAATCAAATAGATTAAAGAAAATATTACTAAGTGTCATCTACCTACTTAAAATAAATCAAATAACTATTATCTAATTTATTTTTAACTATCTACTCTTATGTGGTTTCACCCGCTGCTCAGCTCCATTTAATTGTAGCACAATGTTTTATAGCCTATAGCACTCAGGAACATTGTAGCTATCTATCAGTGAAAGAATTTTGGCAATCCTACCAGCGGTTCCAAAGATTACCACCAACATACAAACTTACAAACTTACAAACCTACAAATTTTACCTCTTTATAATATATATATATATAGGCATACATACCGTTAAATTGAGAAAACTTATCTTTATGCAAGTTTTTATTTAATTTTATTTACCAGATTTACTCAAACTGATATTGACAAGTAATTTTTTTCCATTATGCAAACAAAAAATTCAAGCACCAAAAAGGATAATTTTATTTTTGATCTGGGGCATTATAGTCACTGGTTTTTTTAACACAGCTCATTTTGTTCCAGTATGGGTAACACAAGTAAGAAGTTAGCAGCGAAATGCACGCTTCTAACGAAAGATGAGCAGAAGTACCTTGCGGCTACCTTCAGGGCGGCCAGTAAGAACTCGGATAAGATTCGTGAGGAGGACCTCATCGTGAGTGGCAAATTAGATGCAGTGTTGCTAGAAGTGTGTTCATTTTCCTTTATTTTATTATTATTTAGTTCTCTTTTTGATTGGTGATGAGAGAAATTGAAGTCTGTTACTCCCTAATATCCACATTCACCCAAAAAAAAGCCTTACAGCTGTGATTGCATGTTTTTTTTTTATTTCATATATTTAGGTAACTAAAAGTCAAAAGAAAGCTAGAAAAAAGTATATAAGAGTAGTTTTGAAAGATTCAACTACAGCCTAATAAAATTTAATTTACAATTTTTTTGTCACGGGCATAAAGTTTTTTCTTCGTCTTTTAAATCGAGACGAGATGTTAATAACTTGAATCTCATCACCAATCAAACTTTACATTACATACAAGAATTCTGTAAGTAGACAATCTCTAACCAGGTCATGGTTGTTAGAGTATTTCTTTTTTTTGTCGCTAGTAAACAATCAATGTACTCATAAGAACTGTAAAGAATTAGTAGTATTGCCATTCATAAGTAGTACAGCCAGCACAATAATGTCCAATGGTCCTCATATAAATATATAAAAATAATTCAGCTATCTTAAACATATCTCATGCTAATATACTGTGGCCTCATGACAATTTTTTATCTGTACCCATCTGAGCCAGCCCACAAATATGGCCAATTTGTTGGGGATAAGCAAAATCATCAGTTTTTACATTTACTTGTGAGTACATTGGTTTTATTCATAATTATTACTGTAGTAGTAACTTGTATGTAGTAACAATTTTTATTTTTAAGATCTAGTTTTGTTCCCCATATTGTTTATTAATGACAAATTGTCTTTAATTTGGTTTGTTTGTCTCATAGTAGTAGCTTCTAGTTTTATTTATTTGTTGGTGATGGTGATAATACATATATTGTTTTTTGTGACTAGAAATCACTCTTGTTTTCTATATATTTTTTTTTTTATTTTTGTTTTGGATGCGTGCTTTTTGGCCCTGTTGGCGGTATAGCACCTTTTTTTTCATATGTATTTGGATTTTTGATTAAGCACTTACTTTTTTTTAAGTATTGTTTTTGTAGTTTTTTAAGCACTTTTTGGACGTTTTAATTAATTAGCTTGTGAAGCAATAAGCACGTTTTAGAATACTCACGATGGTTTTTACATTACGTAAGAAGTTTACAGTACGAAGCAATAAGCACGTATTGTGAGAAAGTTCCTGTCCCAGGAGCCCTAACCATCGGTAGCTCGGACTATGTTCCCGCTGTCATCCGCTGTCTACCGCTGCCTTCTTTAATACGGTCAAACAAAACAAATACGGTTACAAAATATTGATTAATTATTACAAATTAAGTTCAGTTAAGTTCAGACTTGGCTGCTACGCGAACTCAAAACTTTTTACGATGGAAAAATTGCCTAAAGAGACTTAGCTCATTTTACATTTAACGTTTTTGGTTTGATCCTGTATCACAGGGAAGAGGAATTCTTAAATCAACTAATTTTATTTTATTTATAAACTTAGATTTAGAATATAGTTAATTTCATATGTGATCTGTAATCTTACATTAAATTTACATTAGTAAGTTAAGTCGCTGTTACTGCCGTATTATTAAGACATTATTTTAATAGTTAACGTGTCCTTTAAAAACCCAATTCGTGATGACTTTCGCAAATAAGTAGTTTACAGGAAGGGCCATAACTAAGCTTGGTTGCTACCGATAGCACTATAAAACAAAACGTAAACCTTTCAAATATACTCAAATTTTCATTTCTCAATTGAGTTTTCATGGCCGTTCGGTCTAATTTCGTGCCCATGGTATTGTGGCGATTGGAAACGAACTGGCGACCTGTCAAAACTGTTATTAGTGCGTTGTTTTTAATGGACGCCGATTGTAAACTTCGTGATGTTATGTAGTTTCTGGTTTGTCGTTAGTTTTTACGCTGAAAATAACTGTTAAATACTTTACACGCTTACAAGTAATTTGTAAAGGAAGTGCAATTAGCCAGTAGACGTTGATATTTTTTTTATGGCAAACGATTGCTCTTGCCACTTGATGGTACAACAGTCGGCGCCTCCCACGAAAATCTGTAACACTAAACGAGTCACAATAGCATCGCCGGCTTTTGGTGGGTGGTCAGGTATTGGAGTATTGGAGATTTGGGCATTGGGAAGGCGAGGGTGTGTGGGGGAAAGAGACGATTAGGTCTCCAGAAACCCACCCACACACGCTGTTAAATCTCACCATAAAAACAAGAAGGAGCTAGGTTATTTTGGTACTCACCATAAAAACAAGAAAAAGCAAGGATAGTACAGTTTAAAAAAAAATAATCGTGAAGCGCCGTTTTTGCTTTCTATATTCTTTCCGTAAATCTTCTTTTTTTTTCTTTCCGCAATAAGGTGTTCAACAATATATACTTATTTGTTGGGCCACTACCCCACAATCACTGAGCACAAATCTTCCAAGATCAAAAGACATGATGAGACATTCTATTATGTCCATTTTCAACATTGCATAATAAGAACTGAATTGTATTCTTTCCATTTCTCAGCAAGCAAGATTCTCCACCTTTCCACTATTATCTTCAATCATTCTACTCTAGTGGAGGAAATAACAAATATTTCCAACAATTTAAAGCACCATAACTTTTGTCAGAACCCCAATGTTCCTTTCTGCATCCAGCCACTCGCAGGTGGCTAGTGTCGTCAATTTATCTGCCAGTTTAGTAAACAAACGAATACAATTTACGGCTGATATAGCCAAAACTATCATTTAAATGCTTACGTACAAACATAATTTAGGCAATATTCGATGTTGCCAATACAGAAATATAGATATGCGGATGTTTCAGCACAAATATTATAAGATGCCTAACCTGCTTTTATAAGACCCATTCATTTTCTTGGAGCCCTAATTCTTAGCCGTTTTTTTTGAGGAGAGAAAATCATCCAATCTCTTCCCTCGCCTAGGGCATATGGCGAGAGGGAATGTCAGAATCTTACTGATTAAAAACCCCTTTGCCCCTTCTCTTGTTCCACAACCCCGGCTGAACATCGGCCCTATTGGGCCCCGTCTGTGGTGGACTGTTGGCCCTTTGAGAGCCGAGCGGAACGCTATGCGACGCACGCTTGGGTCTGTTTCTGGTCGGTGATCGAACAACTCTTGATCGCCACAGGCCTGTCCTAATAGCTTCGAATTATGAAGGTTAGAAAATAATAATACTTTTATATTTTTAACACTCGTCCTCATAGATAAAAATCTCAACAGATCGTGTCTTGTCATGATAAATATAATCTTATGATAATACGACTGCAAACTTATCAATGAACTATTTCTATGAGTCATTCGAGTCGGTTGAGAGACCTTGTGTAATAAGCTATTGTTTATTATGAGAATTTATTTCTGATTCGTATAATATTGGACTGATAGGTGCATTTTAATGTGGGAGAATCGTGCAATGGAATGAATGAGCCTGGTTGGCCGAAGTCATAATGTGGCGACGCACATAGAAAATTGACGAAAAACCAGTGAAGGATCAGATCACGCAGTGGTTTTGCGCGCGATTAACTAAGGATAGAATCTCCAAACGTACAACTGTTGAGCAGTAGGTCGCCAGGCATGATCACCTTACTAGGTCGGATGATATTTCACAAAAAAACCATTGACTTTTTTTATTGGCCCACAAGCCGACAGGCCCTCTCGTGATGTGGGCTACCCATCACCATATCAGCTTGCGTATGTGCGAGCTACGTTGCTAACTCATGTTACTTGAACAAAAGTTTTTCCTACATCATGTTAGTCATATACACGTTCGCAGCTCAAAATCTAAGTAAAGCGAGTACAGTCTGTTTAGAAATCCGATATAACATGAAAAACATTTTGAAATATTTACAGCAACATTGAACATTTTGATTTATTCCGTTTTCCAAGTTTACATTACGTTACATCGATATTTTGTACCGAGTCACGCGTTTAATGCACTGTTTTACTTGTATTTGTTTTACTGCCAATAACCAGAGAGAATAGTGTTTGAAAAAACAAATAAAGGAAGCGTCGACGAATTCTTTGATGAGAGTAGACTCGTATGACTCGTATGCTTTTGTTATATACTAATAATAAATTATATCACTCGAGCTTTAACTCACGGCTTTGCGCGCGTGATTTTCTCATGAAAGGTAGACTGTCCTTTTCTGTTTTCGCACTCCCAATTTTATTTATTGATTTTAAACAAAGACTATTGCGTTTAAGATTCGACGTTCTAGATTAAATACTTCTACTGGACTAGCATTTCCAGGCTTGCGTGTCTAGTGAGATAATTTACCACGGCCCCGGCCTTGAGCAGGAGAAGGAATGGGGTTTTCTTTTAATCAGTAATAAGAGTCTGATACTCATTCTCGCTTACCTAGGGGGTAGGAGAAGTCATCTGATAATCCCCATGTATAATATCCGAACTGCTAATGTTTTTTTATATAAATCTTTGCCCCACCTTAGGATTTTCTCGTATGTCTTGTTGTCTACAATTGTATATTTTTAAATGCTGGGTGCATTTAAAAATCAATTTCACATACACATCACATCCAGACCCGGAACAACAATTCGTATTTCACACAAACAGTTGTTCCGTGCGGGAATCTAGCCCGCGACAAGTAGCGCGGCAGCCGGTTGTCCAGCCACCGCGCCAACGATTTGAAGAACATTAAAATGTTTATAGTCTATTGACACCACATAATGGGTGGTCGTCGATAAATCATCAGGTCATATCAATAAGGAAGCAGTGCATCGTCAATATGGCTGGTAGTAAACTTACACGGACTGTTGAGTTTGTAATGTCGCGTTAACTATGGAGATTTGCAGGAAATGTGCCAAGTTTTTATAGGTACCATTCAGATAGAAGTAACCTTAGGATAAGGGTGGCCAACCTTACTTACCTTACCTTACTTATCATGTACCTTTAAAAGTAATGTTTATTAAGATTATAAATGTGCCACAATATAACGTGGTGTTTCTCGTAGTGTGCCTAGTTTCTCGTAGTGCCTGGCGTGAGTGAGGATACGGAGGCCT